ATACTGCCCTGCTGTTTTTATAAATAAACATTCGTTTTTGGACATACTACACTATTTTGGGCATCTGTTTTCTGGGGCTCCTGTCTGGAGCTTTCACTCCCATAGAGAAAGCACTTTGCCATCCTGAGAGGAGGTTTCTCCTGAAGCACCTGGCTGACCTTAAGGGGACCCCCTGGACCTGATATAGGAGTCTGTGATGACCCACCGTGAGGGAGATGCCTGGCTGCCTGGTTTCTGATGTACCCATTGCCCGTGATGCATAATCACACATGCGCATAACCCATGCGTTTCCGGTGAGTGCGCATTTCTGTTATTCTGACAGAGAGGAGGCCGTGGGAATCCGTATTTCTACATTATACCATTGCGATACCAGATTATCACCTCATTGACTTTTCATCTTTTTAAGCGCTGCACTCTATTATTTTGAGATTGATTGTTTATGTTTAAGGCATTATGGTTGCCTAAATGTTCCAGCTGCTGACATTTATTAGAGCGCTCACTATATATTTTATATTTAGGTTGTATGTGTGATGATAAGAGCGATTCAAAAACAGGAAGAAGATGAGAAACTGAATAGTAATGCTGAAATACAAGAGAAGAGAAAGAAAGAGAGAAAAATTAATTAATTAAAAAAAAGAGAAAATAAAAATAATAATGATAATAAAAATAAAAGAAAATAGAAATAGATATAGTATGAATAGGAAAGAAGAAGAAAAAAAAAAACCTTTGAGCAGCATCCATCCCTTCACCTGTATTGGCTGACACTGGAATCGCTCAGACTCATGCTCCCCTCTTCTCACTTGCCGGTGGGATGATCCTTTTCCTTCCATCCATAGCTTGGAGCGGTGCCATAAAGGTATACTTTTCATAATGTTTTATTGTTACTGTGTTTTATTGTTAACTGTTGTTGTTTGCAGGAACATCATTTACCTGTTTATTCTGACAGCAACTGGGTCTTGCTCTCAGAATATACGTCAGTGTGTGCAGCGCTGTTGGATGAAATTTTTCATCCGCAGTTAAAAAAGAACAGATATGTCCATGCGTGGAGGCCTGGGGTGGTCAGTGGGTGGATCACCCCTATGCTTCGAAATATATTTTTTTATTTTTTTGGGCAGAGATTTCAATAAAAAGTTGTCTTTTTATTGGAATAATGTGCTATTGTTACTGTGTTTTATTGTTAACCATTGTTGTTTGCTTTGCGGGAACACCATTTATCTGCAGCATCGATCTGTTTATTCTGACAGCAATGGGGGGGTCTTGCTCTCAGAATATATGTCAATGTGTGCAGAGCTGCTGGATGGGATTTTTTCATCCACAGTTATAAAAAGAACATATATTCCCAAGCATGGGGGCCTGGGGGGTCAGTGGGTGGATGGCCTATGCTTCGGCATATATATATTTTATACTATTTTTTAACACTGATTTCAATAAAAAAGTTGTTTTATTGAGTTACTGTTTTAGTGTTACTATTTTATTGTTAACCATTGCTGTTTTCTTTTGCAGGAACACCATTCATCTGCAGCACCAATCTGTTTATATTCTGACAGCAATGGGGGGGGGGGGGTCTTGCTCTCAGATTATACATGAGTCTGTGCAGCGCTGCTGGATGAGATTTTTCATCCACGGTTATAAAAAAGAATATTTGTTCCCAAGCATGAGGGCCTGGGGTGGTCAGTGTGTGGATCACTCCTATGCTTCGCATATATATTTTATAAATATTTTTTGGCATGGATTTAAATAAAAAGGTTGTTTTATTGAGTTACTGTTTTATTGTTAACCATTGCTGTATTCTTTGCAGGAAATGCCATTAAGCTGCAGCACTGATCTGTTTATTCTGACAGCAACAGGGTCTTGCTCTCAGATTATATATCAGTCTGTGCAGCGCTGCTGGATGAGATTTTTTTTATCAGCAGTTATAAAAAGAGCATATATTCCCAAACATGGAGGCCTGAGGTAGTCAGTGGGTGGATCGCCTATGCTTTGGCATATATATTTTATAATATTTTTTGGCACTAATTTAAATAAAAAAGTTGTTTTATTGAGTTACTGTTTTATTGTTAACCATTGCTGTTTTCTTTGCAGGAATACCATTCATCTGCAGCATCGATCTGTTTATTCTGACAGCAATGGGGGGGTCTTGCTCTCAGATTATACATCACTGTATGTAGCGCTACTGGATGAGATTTTTCATCTGCAGTTAAAAAAGAACATATATTCCCAAGCATGGGGGCCTGGGGTGGTCAGTGGGTGGATATGCTTCGAAATATTTTTTTTTTTTTTTTTTCCATTTGTTTCTGGCAGAGTTTTCAATAAAAAAGTTGTCTTTTTAATGATTTAACGTTCTATTGTTACTGTGCTTTATTGTTAACCATTGTTGTTTGCTTTACAGGAACACCAATCAGCTGCAGAACTGATCTGTTTATTCTGACAGCAATGGGTCTTGCTCTCAGAATATACATAAGTGCATGCAGCGCTGTTGGATGAGATTTTTCATCCACAGTTATAAAAAAAAACATATATTCCCATGCATGGGGGCCTGGGGTGGTTAGTGGGTGGATCGTCCCTATGCTTCGGCATATATTTGTTTCTTTTTTTTTCTGGCAGACATTTCTTCATCCACATTGATCAATGTGAATGGAGGAATCTCTAAGGTCTTTTTTTTCGTTCAGCCTGTGGGCTGAACGAAAAATAAACATTACATGTTTGCCCAACATTAAAAGTGGGTGGATGCAGGGCAGTATATTCTAATGGTGGGCATACCACAACACTTTTTCTTGTATTGAATAATGTGAATGAAGGAATCTGTTAGGTTCTCTTTTTTTTGTTCAGCCCACAGGTTGAATAAAAAAACGAACATTACATATATACCCAACAAAGACTAGTGATGTACTGGTATGTCTCTGGAGTTTGAGTGGTTATACTGGGATGATTCCCACAGCTACAGGCATCATCCTGGTGTTGTTTTTTCAGCCGAAGGTCAGCTTTTATGTAAAATAGCAATCCTAGCGGCTAATTAGCCATTGGATTGCTTTTCCAAGCAGCGGGAGGGGATGCCCCCCCCCCCCCCCCGCCGCCTTCCACTGCTTTCTCCCATCCCACGGCTAGGCTGCCAAAAACTCTCTCACATGGGGTATCCCCATACTCAGAAGTAGCAGAATGTATTTTTGGGTGCAATTTCACATATACCCATGGCCTGCGTGAGCGATATATCATTTAAGTGATAAGTTTGTGTAAAAAAAAAATATTGTTTATTTTGTCATTTATCCAAAAACTTGTGGTGAAAAAAGAAATCTTCCATTGACTCAAAATGCCTCCCAGGAATATATTGGGGTGTCTACTTTGTAAAAAGGGTCATTTGGGGGAGGGGGGAGCTGTGCTATCCTTGACTTTCAGAGCCTCTAAAACTGTGATAGGCAGTGAGGAAAAGATATGAGGAAATTCTGCACCTTTAGGCTTTCAAAGGGGTCATTGGATTTTGGGCTCCTGTATGTGGATAGGCTGCCAAAAGGTCTCACTCATGGTATCCCCATATCCGGGAGAAGTATCAGAATGTATTTTGGGGAGTAATTCTACATATACCCATGACTTGTATGAGCGGTAAAATCATTTAAGTGACAACTTTGAATTTTTTTTGGTCATATTTCAAAAAACTTCTGGTAAAAAAAAAAATCTTCCATGGACTCAACATGCCTCTGAGCAAATAGTTTGGGGTGTCTACTTTCCAAAAAGAGGTAATTTGTGGGGGGATTGTGCTATCCTGGAATTTCAGAGCCTCTGAAACTGTGATAGGTAGTTTGGAAGTGAAATGAGGAAGTTTCGCATCTTCAAGTTTTAAAATGGGTCATTGCATTCTGAGCTCCTGTATGCAGCTAGGCTGCCAAATGGTCTCACACATGTGGTATCCCCCCCCATTCCCAGGAGAAGTATCAGAATGTATTTTGGGATGTAATTCCACATATACCCATGGCTTGTGTGAGCAATATATCATTTAAGTGACAACTTTGTGTTAAAAAAAAAAATCATGATCACCCCCCCACAAGTACTACTAGGGTGAGGGGGTACAAAAAAAATAAATACCTAAATAAAAAATATTTACAAAAATAAAAATGTAACAAAATTAATTTTTTTTGAAAAAATTGAATTTTCTATATATTAATTTGGGTGATTTTATTTTAATTTTTTTTTAACAAAAAGGTAGCAGAATATATTTTGGCCAAGATTTATGAAGATTATTTATTTGCAAAATTCAATAAGAAAAACGTTTTTTTTTAATTTTTGGTCTTTTTTTCATTTAGATGGTAGAAAAAATAAAATCTGTCTAAAAAAATGCTAAAAATGTCATATGGGTACAGTGTTGCATGACCGCGCAATTGTCATTCAAAGTGTGACAGCGCTGAAAGCTGAAAGTTGGCCTGGACTGGAAGAGGGTAGAAGTGTCCGGAACTGAAGGGGTTAAGTTAAAAAAATGTGGAGTGGAGGTCACAGATTTCCTGTCCAGTGGAGCTCCACTCGCAGCCACTGAAAGTTTGTTTACTAACAAGTTGAAGTGGAGGTCACATGTTTCCTTTCCAGAGTAGAGCTCCAGTCTGCAGCCACACCCCCTTGAATAGTACACACAGAAATTATGTGACAGGACACACGTGACCTCCACTTCCGTAAGTTGTGTTTATGGAGTGTTCATGACATTAAAGTACATTATATTTAAAAAAAAAGGTAGAGTGGAGGTCACGTGCTTCCTTTCGAGTGGAGCTCCACTCTGCATCCCCTGCTTGTTTGTTACATTAAAGTTCACTAGAAAAAAAAAAAGTTGGAGTGGAGGTCACATGTTTCCTGTCGAAACTAGAGCTTCTTTCTGTAGCCACATCCCTCTTGGTGGAGGCAGCGCGTATCCAATCAGCGACAATCTGTCAATCATGAAACCGCCCCCTGGCCACGTTCCCTCCCATTTGGCCACTCATTGACTCCGCTCGTTGCCAGGTGACCCAAGAGGGCGGGTCGGGATGTCACTGGTGCGGACGGGAAGATGGCGGAGACACCGGAGCTGGTCGGGCTGAGCGATGAGGAGGCGAGCAAGGCGTGCGGGGAGCCGGAGCCCGTTACTAAGGTAACCCGGAGGGGGAGGAGCACGAGCACTGCGCCTCTGTATAGGAGATATGAGGCGAGATGTCAGGGAGAGTCCAGTACAGAGCACGTGACGAAGGAGGGGGAGGGGAGTCCTGTCTGTGACAAACCGACCGACACAGGGAGACACTGATCCCTACATATCACCCCCCCCTCATCCCTCCACATCACCCCCCCCCCCCCCTCATCCCTCCACATCACCCCCCCCATCCCTCCACATCACCCCCCCCCCCCCCCATCCCTCCACATCACCCCCCCCCCCTCATCCCTCCACATCACCCCCCCCCTCATCCCTCCACATCATCACCCCCCCTCATCCCTCCACATCACCCCCCCTCATCCCTCCACATCACATCCCCCCTCATCCCTCCACATCAACCCCCCATCCCATCCCTCCACATCACCACCCCCCCCCCCCCCCATCACCTCCACATCACCACCCCCCCCCCTCATCCCTCCACATCACCACCCCCCCCCTCATCCCTCCACATCACCCCCCCTCATCCCTCCACATCACCCCCCCCCCCCCTCATCCCTCCACATCAAACCCCCCCCCCCTCATCCCTCCACATCACCCCCCCCCCCCCCCTCATCCCTCCACATCACCCCCCCCCCCCTCATCCCTCCACATCACCCCCCCCCCATCATTCCCTCCACATCACCCACCCCCCCCCCATATCCCTCCACATCACCCCCCCCCATATCCCCTCCACACACCCCCCCCCCATATCCCTCCACATCACCCCCCCCCCCCCCATCCCTCCACAATCACCCCCCCCCCCCCATATCCCTCCACATCACACCCCCCCCCATATCCCTCCACATCACCCCCCCCACCCCCCATCCCTCCACATCACCCCCCCCCCCCCATATCCCTCACATCACCCCCCCCCCCAATTTCCCTCCACCTCACACCCCCCCTCATCCCTCCACATCAACCCCCCATCCCCCACATCACCACCACCCCCCCCTCATCCCTCCACATCAACCACCCCCCCCCCTCATCCCCTCCACATCACCACCCCCCCCCTCATCCCTCCACATCACCACCCCCCCCCCCCCTCCCCTCCACATCACCACCCCCCCCCCTCATCCCTCACATCACCCCCCCCTCATCCCTCCACCCCACCCCCCCCCCCCCCCCCCCACATCAACCCCCCAATCCCACCCTCCCCCCCCCCACCCCCCCCCCATCCCCCCACATCCCCCCCCCCCATCATCCCTCCACATCACCCCCCCCCCCATCATCCCTCCACCCCCCTCACCCCCCCCCCCTCATATCCCCCCCATCACCCCCCCCCCCATATCCCTCCACATCAAACCCCCCCCCCCCCCCATCCCCCCCCCCACCCCCCCCCCCCCCTATCCCTCCACATCCCCACATCACCCCATATCCCCTCCACATCACCCCCCCCCCCCCCCCCATCCCTCCACATCACCCCCCCCCCATATCCCTCCACATCACCCCCCCCCATATCCCTCCACATCCCCCCCCCCCCCCTATCCCTCCACCCCCACCCCCCCCTCATCCCTACAACATCACCCCCCCCAACCTCATTCCACCCCCATCCCCCTTCCCTCCCCATCACCCCCCCCCCCCCCCCCCCCCCCACCCATCCCCCCCCCCCCATATCACTCCACATCACCCCCCCCCCCCACTATCCCCCTCCCACATCCCCCCCCAAATCACCCCCCCCCCCCATATCCCTCCACATCACCCCCCCCCCCCCACCCTCCCCCATCACCCCACCCACCCCCCCCACACCCCCCCCTCCCTCCCTCATCACCCCCCCCCCCCCCCCCCATCCTCCCTCCACATCACCCCCCCCCCCCCCCATATCCCCCACTACATCCCCCCCCCCCCCACGCCCACCACATCACCCCCCCCCCCCATACCCCTCCACATCACCCCCCCCACCCCCAACCCAATCCCTCCACATCACCCCCCCCCCCCCTATCCCTCCACCACCCCCCCCCCCCATATCCCTCCCAAACCCCCCCCCCCATATCCCTCCACAACCCCCCCCCCCCCAATCCCCCACATCACCCCCCCCCATCCCCCCCCCCCCCCCATCCCTCCCCCCCCCACCTTCACCTCATCCCTCCACCCCACCCCTCCCTCCCACCCCCCCATCACACCACCCCCCCCCCCCCACCACTCACACCAACTCCCCCCCATCCCCCCCCCCCCCCACCCCCCCATCCCTCCCCCCCCCTCCACTCCAACCCCCCCCCCCCTCCATCCCTCCCCATCACCCCCGTCAAACCCCCACACACCCCCCCTCCCCCCCTCCCCCCCCCCCCCTCCCCCCACCCCCACACTTACACCCCCCCCCTCATCCCTCCCAACATCCCCCCCCCCCCCCATCCCCCCAAGACAACATCACCCCCCCCATCCCATCCTCACCCCCCCTTCCCCCACCCCCCCCCCCCTCACCCCCCCAACCCTATTCCCCCCCCCCCCCCCCCCCCCCTCCCCACCCCCACCCACCCCCCACCCCCCACCACCCCCCAACCCACCCCTCCCCAACAACCCCCCACCCCCATCCCTCCCCCCCCCCCACCCACCCCCTCCTCATCCCCTCACCCCCCCACCCTCCACATCAACCCCCTCATCCCCCCACACTCCCCCCCCCATCCCCCCCCCCCCCCCCCCCACAACCCTCCCCATCCCCCCCCCCCCCCTCAATCCCTCCACCCCATCACCCCTCATTCCTCCAATCAAGGACCTCCCTCATCCATCCACAACAACCCCCCCCCCCCCCCCCTCCCCCCCCCCCCCCCCCTCATCCCCCCCCCCCCCCCCCCCCCCCTCCCCCCCCCCCCTCCACCATCCCCCACCCCCCCCCCCCCCCCTTCACCCCCCCCCCCCCACCCCATCATCACAACCCCCCCCCTCCATCCCTTCCGCCCCACCCCCCCTCCCTCATCCCCCCCCCGTCATCCCTCCCACCCCCCCATCCCCCCCCCATCCCCCCCCATCCCCCCCATCCCCCCCCCCCCCATCCCCCCCCCCCCCCCCCCCCCTTCATCCCCCTCCCCCTCATCCTCCCCCCCCCCCCCCCCCCTCCCCCCCCCCCCCCCCCCCCCCCCACCCCCCATCCTCCCCCCCCCATCCCCCCCCCCCCCCCCCCCCCCCCCCCCATCCCCTCCTCCCATCCCCCTCCTTCCCCCCTCCCCTCCTTCCCCCCCTCCCCTCCTCACCCCCCCCCCCCCCCCCCTCCTCCTCCCCCCCCCCCCCCCCCCTCCTCCTCCACCCCCCCCCCCCCCCTCCTCTTCTCCACCTCCCCTCCTCTCCTCCACCTCCCCTCCCTCCTCCTCCACCTCCCCTCCTCCCTCCACCTCCCCTCCTCATCCCTCTAACCCCTCATCCCTCCACAAACACACCCTCTTCCTGGGGGGGGAGACGATGCACACATTGTCCTCCTGGGGGGGGGGGGGGGGGAACGGTTCCCTGCACACACACCCTCTTCATCCCTCCCCCCCCCCCCCCGCTCACATTGTCCTTTTGGGGGGGAGGTGATTCCCCAATGCACACATTGTCCTCCTGGGGGGGGGGGGAGACGACGATGATTCCCTGCACACATTGTCCTCTTTGGGGGGGGGGAGACGATGATTCCCTGCACACATTGTCCTCCTGGGGGGGGGGGGAACGGTTCCCTGCACACACACCCTCCTCCTCATCCCTTCTCCCCCCCTCTCATCCCTCCACATCACCCCCCCCCTCCTGGGGGGGGGAGACTATTCCCTGCACACATTGTCCTGCTGGGGGGGGCAGAAGATTCCCTACACACAGCTGACTTCCCATAGGCCAAGCCGCCCCTCCCTTCCTATAATGGCAGGGGAGGTGTTGGCCGGGGTTATCCGCACCCAGCGGCACCATAATTAGACACCTTGTGAAATCCATCCTCATGCTGGTGTCATAGAATGAGGTCAGAGCAATCCTGGGAGCCGGGCAGTCGGTGACACCCCGGGAGAGAGGCGGTGACACCCGGGAGAGAGGCGGTGACACCCGGGAGAGAGGCGGTGACACCCGGCCTGGAAAAGTCAGACTTCAGTCCTCTGAGAATCTCTTTCCTTCTGAGGAAGATTCCGGAGAGATTCCAGGCGCTGGCTCACCTGTCGCATCCCAGCTACTGAGTGCGCACTACAGCCGGGACAAGGGGTGGGCAGGGGGCGCTCTCACTACACGCACTGCAGGTCTGCTACTCAGCCTGCGCGCCCAACATGTCCATCCCATCCCCCACAACTGACGCAAAAAAAAAACACACACCGCAGCAGTGATTGGCCACACACGTGCAATGCATACTCCATGCAGCCAGAGCAAGGGAGTCGAGAAGGGGCGCAGGCTGCACCAAAAACTGAAACCGAGACAGTTTGTTTACAAAAAATTTTTTTTTAAATTCTATTTGAGGGTGGGGGCTTTCCATTTCAGTGGGAGGCGATTTTTGCATTGAAGTCAATGGGAGGGGTTGGAGCTGATTTTTTTTTGGATTGAAGTCAATGGGGGGGAGGTGATTTTTTTTTTTTTTTTGCATTGCAACATTGTACCCATATTACATTTATAGAATTATTTTTGAACAAACAGATCCATTGTTTTGGTGACATTTTATTCCCTTTTATATTCTGAGCTGAATAAACTAAACAAGACATTAACATTTACAAAAACTTGTTTTTTTTTCTTGGTTTCTGTTTTAAAATTTTGCAAATAATAATATAAAAAATAATAATAAATAATCTTTCTTCATAATTTTAGGCCGAAGTGTTTTTTGCTCCATTTCTTCGGTGAAAATATATTCCATCCAATAATATTTAGTCTGCAGGAAAGTTATCGAGTCCACAAACCGTGAGATATATATCTGCCAATCAATGGATCCCGACGTCCTGATGACTGATCCCAGTTCTAGAGGCCCTAAAATATCAGAACAGTACGACTACCCCCCCCCCCATGTCAGGACAGTACGACTACCCCCCCCAAATGTCAGGACGGTACGATTACCCCCCCAAATGTCAGGACGGTACGACTACCCCCCCCTCCCCCCAATGTCAGAACAGTACGACTACCCCCCCCCCCATGTCAGGACAGTACGACTACCCCCCCAAATGTCGGGACGGTACCACTACCCCCCCCCCAAATGTCGGGACGGTACCCTACTACCCCCCCCCCCCCAAATGTCAGGACGGTACCACTACCCCCCCCCCCCCCCCCAAATGTCGGGACGGTACCACCACCTCTACCCCCCCCCCCAAATGTCGGGACGGTACCACTACCCCCCCCCCCAAATGTCGGGACGGTACCACTACCCCCCCCAAATGTCGGGACGGTACCACTACCCCCCCCAAATGTCGGGACGGTACCACTACCCCCCCCCCCCCCCCCCCAAATGTCGAGACGGTACCACTACCTCCCCCCATGTCAGGACAGTACAAATAACCTCAAATGACCCCTTTTTGGAAGTAGTCAGTCTGGGGTATCCAGCAGGAGGTGGGGGGAGTTTTCTGAAGTTGTAATTTTTTTTATCATAATTTTTTGGGGAAAATGAAAAAAATACAATTTTTTTAGTTTTGTTTGCGGTCCCCAGAGCAGTGCAGCGTCATGACAGGACCGAGGAGGCTGTGGTCAGGGACACGGACTGGTGACAGAATGGAGGAAAGAGAGAATATATATCGGCTTCATCTTCTCTTTTCTTGTTTTGGTTTTCCCTCGCTGTGACCGGAGCAGTATATTGTTACGTCTGACGCTGCACCACTCTGCACCACTCTGCACTACGCTGCACCACTCTGCACTACGCTGCACCACTCTGCACTACGCTGCACCACTCTGCACTACGCTGCACCACTCTGCACTACGCTGCACCACTCTGCACTACGCTGCACCACTCTGCACTACGCTGCTGCACCACTCTGGGGGGGTCAGCAGCATTTTTTACATTTTTTTTTATTTTTTATTTTATACGTTTTGATTGCTTCTAACAGTGAATTTCACTGCTATAGGCAACCATTTCTCCTGAATGACTAATTCAGTTTGTTTTGTTGTGATTAGCTGTGATTGGCCCTATCTGTATCATGTGATCACTGTGACCAATCTATCACCAGCTGATCAGTGTACCGGCCCACTGCAGGTACCATGTGACCAATCACAGCTAACAACACAATGAATGGCATGAATCAAAGCATTCATCATTTACCTGCTGTGATTGGTCACAGTGATCACACGGTACTGGCAGCAGGTTGGTATGCTGATCAGTCAGTGTCGGTGGCAGATCGCACCCGCAGGCCCGTTCCTGGAGGATGTCGTATGTTCTCCACCCAGAACGACATAGTCCCGCCTGGCCGTAAAATTACTATAGCCCAGGCATGGCGTGGTTAACCAATTCAGGGCCGGACCGGAGCAGCGCGCAGGGGCGGGTTGCCGTTCGTAAACAGGGACTGCATTTTCAGGTTGTACACGCTCCCTGGGACACAGCGGAACACCAATCGCTGTACGGGACCTCTGTGTGAGATCCCAATCATGTGATCACTGATTGGCCAATCAGTGATCACATGCAGAGTAGTAAGCAAGATGTCACTTCTGTCACAGTGTAAAAAAAAAAAAAAATCTTCATCACCCCCCACAAGTAGTAGTACAGTGTCACCATGGTGACCCCACACTGCTAGGGTGACAGTATGTAAAAAAAAAAAAAAAAAAAAAAAATTAAAAATTACAATTTTTGATTATAAACTAATTAAGGTTATTTATTTTTTTACTAGAAAGATAACTGAATACATTTTGGCCGAGATTTGAGAAGAAAGATTTATTTGCAAAATTTTATAAGAGAAACTTTTTTTCCAAAATTTTTGGACTTTTTCATTTATATAGCAAAAAAATAATCCCAGCGATGAATAAATACCACCAAAATAAAAAGTTTTATCTTGTCTAAAAAAAAAAAAAATGCTAAAAACTTCCTATGGGTACAGTGTTGCATGACCGCGCAATTGTCATTCAAAGTGTGATATCTCCCAATGGGGATACTAGTTCTGGTGACCTGGGGGGGTGTCCCCCAATGGTTTTCCCTTAATTTGCAGGGATTTCCCCTCACTTCCTGTTTCGGCTGTGGGACAGGAAGTGAAGGGAAATCTCCCCAATGGGACCCCCCCCCCATTACTCTACACGTTGGGTATCTGTTTATTCAGAACAACATCTTTTATATTTCAGTGAAAAATTAGGTAATATTGTGTTTTGTGCACGAAAATGATCACAAATGTTTCTCTTGGTAAATGTGCTGATATCCCGGGAAATAGAACGGATTTATTCTCCTGGGTCTCGGATTTCAGAGAATACATCGTTTTGGGGCTATTAACAATCCTCGGCCTAAAATGATTGTTTTTAAATGTGTGCAGAAATCACAGAAACCGCTCTGGTGTGAAAGGCAAATATTGCAACAAAGTTTGGCTTTTTTTGGGGTTTTTTTTTTTTTGTTTTTTTTTTTTTTGTATGGCTTTTTTTGTTTTTGTTTTTTTTTTGTATGGCTTTTTTTGGTTGCTTTTTTGTGTGTTTTTTTGTATGGCTTTTTTTTGGTTGCTTTTTTTTTGTATGGCTTTTTTTTGGTTGCTTTTTTTTTTGTATGGCTTTTTTTGGTTGCTTTTTTTTGTTTTGTTTTTTTTTTTTGTATGGCTTTTTTTTTTTTTTTGTTTGGCTTTTTTTTGTATGGCTTTTTTTTGTATGGCTTTTTTTTGTTTTTTTTTTTGTATGGCTTTTTTTTTTTGTATGGCTTTTTTTTTGTATGTTTTGTTTTTTTGTATGGCTTTTTTTTGTTTTTTTTTTGTATGGCTTTTTTTTGTTTTTTTTTGTATGGCTTTTTTTTTGTTTTTTTTGTATGGCTTTTTTTTTTAGTTTTTTTTTTTTGTATGGCTTTTTTTTTGTTTTTTTTTGTATGGCTTTTTTTTGTGGGTTTTTTTTTGTATGGCCTTTTTTGGGGGGGGGGGGTTGTATGGCCTTTTTTTGGGGGGGGGGTTTGTATGGCTTTTTTTTGTGGGTTTTTTTTTTTTCCACTTTTTGCTTGTGACTGGAGATCTGCTCTAGGAGTATCCCTATTCTTGTATAATCCCCGACATGACGGGTCCTCTTTGTTCTCTGACTCTGTACGGTGTAGATTGTTGTGCAGCGTGTCAGGACAGGACAAGGATGACGGATCTCTGGGATCTGTGTCATGTTCTGGAGTCAGTCCCGGGTTGTGCTGAGCTGTGCTGGGTTATGGGTGGAGGAGGGGGAGGGGTGTGATAACCCGAATGTCAGCTACTTCTGTGTCATGACCTTTCTTGCCTTCATTTCTATTCTTGGATTGTAAGCTTTTAGGTCCCTCTAATTCCTCTTTATATTTTATTGTATTCTGATCGTTCTGTAAAAACGGTTTGGTTCTATAGAAATCCTATTTTTTTTTTTTAAATATTTAAAAAATATATATATATATAAATAAAATTCTTTAAAAATATAATAAATATAAATATCAAAATAATTGTAGTGATTTAAAAAAAAAAAAAAAAAAAATTTAACTATTATAAAATTAATAGTGTTTTCTTTTTTAAAATGTTAAATAATAAAAATTGGAAAAAATTAAAAAATATAAAAACATTTTAGTATTTTTTTTTTATGTAAAAGGGCAGAAACAATGGAGTACTGACGTGATACTTTTTTTATTTGCACTAACATACAATGTTGAGGACAGTCTTTTGGGGAACGTCCCCTTCTTCAAGGTCCAGGCAGGACTACTTCACAAAGTTTTAGCAGAATGTTAGAAGAGATGTTGAAAGGGGGAGGAAAAAAAAAACCAGAAACACAAACAAATGTACACCACAATGGTTATAATGTATGTTTTTGTTTTTTTGTTTTTTTTTGTATGGCTTTTTTTGTTTTTTTGTTTTGTATGGATTTTTTTGTTTTTTTGTTTTGTATGGCTTTTTTTGTTTTTTTGTTTTGTATGGCTTTTTTTGTTTTTTTTTTGTATGGCTTTTTTTTTTTTTTTTTTTTTTGTATGGCTTTTTTTTTTTTTGTATGGCTTTTTTTTTTTTTTTTTTTTTGTATGGCTTTTTGTTTGGCTTTTTTTTTTTTTGGTATGGCTTTTTTTTTTTTTTTTTTTTTGTATGGCTTTTTTTTTTGTTTTGCATGGCTTTTTTTTGTTTGTTTTTTTTTTGTATGGCTTTTTTTTTTTTGTTGCTTTTTTTTTTGTATGGCTTTTTTTGGTTGCTTTTTTTTTTTTTGGCTGGCTTTTTTTGGTTGTTTTTTTTTTTTTTTGTGTGGCTTTTTTTGGTTGCTTTTTTTTTTTTTTTGTATGGCTTTTTTTGTTTGGCTTTTTTTGGTTTTGTTTTTTTTTGTATGGCTTTTTTTTTTTTTTTTTTTTGTATGGCTTTTTTTGTTTGTTTTTTTTTTGTATGGCTTTTTTTTGTTTTTTTTTTTGTATGGCTTTTTTTTTTTTGTTTTTTTTTTGTATGGCTTTTTTTTGTTTTTTTTTTGTATGGCTTTTTTTTGTTTTTTTTTTTTGTATGGCTTTTTTTTTTTGTTTTTTTTTTTTGTATGGCTTTTTTTTTTGTTTTGTTTTTTTGTATGGCTTTTTTTTGTTTGGCTTTTTTTTTGTTTTTTTTTTTTGTATGGCTTTTTTTTTTTTTGTTTTTTTTTTGTATGGCTTTTTTTTTTTGTTTTTTTTTTGTATGGCTTTTTTTTGTTTTTTTTTTTGTATGGCTTTTTGTTTGGCTACAAAAAATATAATGTATGTTTTTGTTTTTTTTTTTTTTGTTTTTTTTTATGTAAAAAAAAAATGTTTTATTTAAAATGTAAAAATGATCATTTAAAAAATATAAAAATTTTAAAAAATTTAGTAGTTAAATATAAAAATTAAAAAATATATATTTAATAATAATAATTGAAAAAAATAGTAATAATCTTTCTTCCAGGATTTCATGATGCAGCAGACCATGCTACGGATCAAAGACCCTCAGAAGTCCCTGCAGTTCTACACCAAGTGCCTGGGCATGACGTAAGTCCCTGAACTCTCCCTGTACTCTGTGTCTTAAGCTGACCATACGTGGGTCGCAATTCAGCCGGTTCAGATGGGGATCAGATGGATTTCGATCCGTGTGGGGGGCAGGGAGGTCTATCTTCTCAGCCCGGTCAGGCTTTGTTTGCTCGATCAGTTGCGGCTGGCTATAGCCTGCGGTGCTGATCGGTGTATTCAGATGGTGGGGAAGTCTCCTCGCTGTAAGAATACAAAACCTCATCAGGAGGATTCCCCCCTCCACAGTTTTTGTTCAACCTGCTGGTTGAGTGAATAATTGAACCCCGGACTCCCATATGGGCTGCTTTAGGAGGGGGTGGTATGCCCCAGGTAGGTGTATGAGGTCTGCTAGGACCTGGTTTACGGGTTGCTGAACACACCTCATACCTGCTGAGATAAAACGCTCCGTCATCAGTGTGTACCTACCTCCTCCACACCTGTATGTGGTCAAAGTCCAGTCCAAGGTCATGCCGCAGTCTGTAGTGCTCAGTGTGTATAGCCAGCGATTTATACATCGCTTTACATTCACATCACTTCCTGCCCCAGGGAGCTTACACTCTAAAGACACAATATATATATAAATCATTTTGTTTCCCCCGGCAGAGGCCTCTAGCCCTGAATATTTGTAATGGCAAGGGGTGGTGGGGTGTGCCGGAGGGGGCTGTTATTTTTGCTGGCTACTGATAGATCTATTGTCACTGGGGGGATCTATTGTTGCCAGGGTGGAGGTGGCAGAGATCTGCTGTTGAGGGAGGGGTCTATTGTTTCTTGCTGCTGGAGGGTCTATTGATGCTGGCTTCTAGTAGACCGGTTGTTGCTGTGGTGGGTCTGCTGTTACTAGAGGGGTATTTTGCTGTAGGAGGTCTATTGTTGCTGGGGGGATGTCCTATTGCTGGAGGGCCTATTGTTGCTGGGGGGGTGTCATATTGCTGGAGAGGGGCTATTGTTGCTAGGGGGATGTTATATTGCTGAAGGGGCCTATTGTTGCTGGGGGGGTGTCATATTGCTGGAGGGGGGCTATTGTTGCTAGGGGGATGTCATATTGCCAGAGGGGCCTGTTGTTGCTGGGGGGTGTCATATTGCTGGAGGGGCCTGTTGTTGCTGGGGGGTGTCATATTGCTGGAGGGGGGCTATTGTTGCTAGGGGGATGTCATATTGCTGGAGGGGGGCTATTGTTGCTAGGGGGATGTCATATTGCTGGAGGGGGGCTATTGTTGCTAGGGGGATGTCATATTGCTGGAGGGGGCTATTGTTGCTAGGGGGATGTCATATTGCTGGAGGGGGCTGTTGTTGCTGGGGGATGTCATATTGCTGGAGGGGAGCTATTGTTGCTGGGGGATGTCATATTGCTGGAGGGGAGCTATTGTTGCTAGGGGGATGTCATATTGCTGGAGGGGTCTATTGTTGCTGGGGGATGTCATATTGCTGGGGGGATGTCATATTGCTGGGGGGATGTCATATTGCTGGGGGGATGTCATATTGCTGGGGGGATGTCATATTGCTGGAGGGGTCTATTGTTGCTGGGGGGATGTCATATTGCCAGAGGGACCTATTGTTTCTGGGGGATGTCATATTGCCGGAGGGGCCTATTGTTGCTGGGGGATGTCATATTGCCGGAGGGGCCTATTGTTGCTGGGGGATGACATATTGTTGGAGGGGCCTATTGTTGCTGGGGGGATGTCATATTGCCGGAGGGGTCTATTGTTGCTGGGGGGGTGTCATATTGCCGGAGGGGTCTATTGTTGCTGGGGGGATGACATATTGTTGGAGGGGCCTATTGTTGCTGGGGGATGTCATATTGCCGGAGGGGTCTATTGTTGCTGGGGGGATGTCATATTGCCGGAGGGACCTATTGTTTCTGGGGGATGTCATATTGCCGGAGGGGCCTATTGTTGCTGGGGGATGTCATATTGCCGGAGGGGCCTATTGTTGCTGGGGGGATGACATATTGTTGGAGGGGCCTATTGTTGCTGGGGGGATGTCATATTGCCGGAGGGGTCTATTGTTGCTGGGGGGATGTCATATTGCCGGAGGGGCCTATTGTTGCTGGGGGGATGTCATATTGCCGGAGGGGCCTATTGTTGCTGGGGGATGTCATATTGCCGGAGGGGCCTATTGTTGCTGGGGGGATGTCATATTGCCGGAGGGGCCTATTGTTGCTGGGGGATGTCATATTGCCGGAGGGGCCTATTGTTGCTGGGGGGAAGCAATTTTTGCGGGCCAAAAGGGATGTATAATTAACCAATTCAATACAAATTACTTGGCATCACAAAATGATACTTTGTTTCTGTAGTCTCTAAAAGGGGCGGTACTGCTGGGAGGTGGGTAGGGGGTGGAGACAAGGGGTGACCTATTCTCTTCACCGTTCTGTAGATTTGAATTCCCCCGCAGCTTACTCTGCTGTCCTCGCAATGAAGTTATACAATCTATATCGGTGAAGGAGAATTACATTATTATTATATACAATTGATATGTGGACTTTGAGGATCTAAATGATTCTTTATTTACTTTATTTTATTTTTTCACACATAATTTGGTGGTGGATTAATATAATATTTTATTAGTATGTTATTTATTTTGTGAGCGCTATTTTTTGTGGTCATATTAAGCATTCGATTTTATTTTCACATATTGGTGGTTATATAATAGGGAAGTCATTGAAGCGTAGTGACTGTATATTCTGTGATCCATCGAACAGAACGGTTTTTATCTTTGTCTGAAGAACCGATCCAATTTTTTTTTTTTTTTTATCATCGCAGTCTCCTCCAGAAGCTGGATTTCCCTTCCATGAAATTCTCCCTCTATTTCATGGGCTATGAGGACAAGAAGGACATCCCAGAAGACATCAAGGAGAGGACGGCCTGGACCTTCTCCCGGAAAGCCACCCTGGAGCTCACCCAGTGAGTAGAACATCTTCATCCGCTTTTTTTGGGGGTTATAAAGTAATTTTGTAGCAAAAAAATAAAGATTCAAACTTGTAAACATAAAGTGCTAGAACATTCTTTGGTCTTGAAGTGGGTAGAGGAGCAGAGTGCGGGGGACGGGGGCTCTACAGAGAGAGGAATACAGGCCATAGACGGGTCGAAAATTGGACGATTTTTCGGCTGAAAAAAAAAAATCGGCTGATTTTTGCACCGTTTTCCCGGCAAATCGGCCGATCGTTTTACCAATAAAAAAAAAATCTGCGCATGAGCCGTGACCTGCAAGAAGAAGAAAAAGAAGAATTCCAGTCCGCTATTATATTTGACATGAAAAGTCTTGCGGTTGCAACAATGTATCTACAGTTGTGTCCAAAATTATTCAACCCCCACTGAAATTGAGTGTTTTGGCCAGTTTGACATTGCTTTTGATCATTCAGTCATCTTGCTTACATTTACATTAAAGAGGCACTTGTAGGTCAGACAAATATAACATAACAGTTATAATGAAATAACCACAAATGTCTTTTCTGTGCTCACAGCATTATCAGTTTTATTCAACCCCCAAGTGACATTCAATCTTAGTACTTAGTACAGCATCCTTTTACAGTTATAACAGCTTTTAAACGTGAAGCATAGCTTGACACAAGTGTCTTGCAGCGATCTACGGGTATCTTCGCCCATTCTTCATGGGCAAAGGCCTCCAGTTCAGTCACATTCTTAGCTTGCGCACTGCAACTGCTTTCTTTAAGTCCCACCAGAGGTTCTCAATCGGATTTAAGTCTGGTGACTGCGATGGCCACTCCAAAATGTTCCAGCCTTTCCTCTGCAACCATGCTCTAGTGGACTTGGAGGTATGCTTGGGATCATTGTCCTGTTGAAAGGTCCAACGTCTCCCAAGCCTCAGGTGTGTGACGGACTGCATCACGTTTCCATCCAATATCTCCTGGTACTGAAGAGAATTCATGGTACCTTGCACACGCTGAAGCTTCCCTGTACCTGCAGAAGCAAAACAGCCCCAAAGCATGATTGACCCTCCACCATGCTTCACAGTAGGCAAGGTGTTCTTTTCATCATAGGCCTTGTTCTTCCTCCTCCAAACATAGCGTTGATCCATGGGCCCAAACAGTTCTAATTTTGTTTCATCAGTCCACAGAACACTATCCCACAACTTTTGTGGTTTGTCCACATGGCTTTTGGCATACTGCAGTCGACTCTTCTTATTCTTTGGAGACAGCAAGGGGGTACGCCTGGGAGTTCTGGCACGGAGGCCTTCATTACGCAGTGTGCGTCTTATTGTCTGGGCTGAAACTTCTGTACCCACATCTGACAAATCTTTTCTCAGTTCCTCAGCAGTCACACGGGGACTTCTCTCCACTCTACGCTTCAGGTAGCGCACAGCAGTCGAAGTCAGCATCTTCTTTCTGCCACGACCAGGTAGCGTTTCAACAGTGCCCTTTGCCTTGAATTTGCGAATGATGCTTCCTAAGGTGTCTCTTGGTATGTTTAACATCTTTGCAATCTTCTTATAGCCATTGCCCTTCCTGTGAAGAGAAATCACCTCTTCTCTTGTCTTCCTGGACCATTCTCTTGCCTTCACCATGTTTTGTAACCACACCAGTAAATGTCTAGAAGGAGCTGAGTATCACAGTCATTTTAAAGCTGCCTAATTGGTGCTTATTATGCTTGATTGCTGCTCGGTGACATCCACAGGTGTTTTCAATACCTGATGGAAAGCACCTGTATGAACCTCTGTTCTTCAGAGTGGTAGTCTTTAAGGGGTTGAATAATTGTGGCAATGAAGAAACCACATAAGAACCATTTACTACTGTATTACATAAACAATTGATGTCATTTTAGTTGCATTTGGGTAGTTACAACGTCCTTGTAGGATTTGATTCTGAATACAATTCCAAATGTACACTATAGTCCCTAAACCCCTTTACAGCATTGGGGGTTGAATAATTTTGGACACAACTGTATTTGTATCCGAATAAAAACCGAAAAACAAAATCTATTTGTATCCGAATAACAACATCTGCATCCGAAATGGATACAAATGGATACATTGTTGCAACCGCAAGACTTTCATGTCAAATATAATAGCGGAGCTCTCTGCAGGGACAGAAGTCATTAAATGCCGGCCGCAGACGGGACGAAAATCGGACGATTTTTTTTTTTTTTCTTTTCTTTTTTTCTTTTTCTGTACTGTTGGTGGTAACGTCGGCCTATTGAACGACCGATTTTTTTTTTTTTTTTTTTTTTTTTTTTTTTTTTTTTTTTTTTTTTTAAAACGGACAGTTTTCGACCCGTCTATGGCCTGCAGAGGGCTAGTACAGATCTTGTAGGAAGGTATTCCAGACTGGTCTTCTCATCTGAGCTGATTCCTCCTTCCCTCTAGGCCAGGAGTAGGCAACCTGCGGCTCTCTAGCTGTTGTGGAACTACATTTCCCATGAGGCATTGCAAAGATTACAAAACTGACAGTTACAGCTATGACTTGCAGAGGCATGATGGGACTTGTAGTCCTGCGGCTCTCAGGTTGCCTACCCCTGGGCTATACACACCTTTCTGTATTTTCTCTTTTCGCAGTAACTGGGGAACGGAGAGCGATGAGAAACCTTATCACAACGGCAACTCGGACCCCCGAGGATACGGTAAGTGACACCGTTTTGGAAGGTCGGAGAGCTTGATTAGAATTTGGTATCTGACACACGTGAACATTAAAGCAGAGCTCCGCCCCTGAGCGGACGTTCCGCTTTAAGGCCTCGTTCCCTCGCTCCCTGTTAAGGATTGGCGCCTTTTGGGGAGAGGGAGATAAGAACGGGAAGTCGCTGTATTATAAAAGTCAGCAGGTACAGTTTTTGTAGCTGCTGAAATGTATTTATTCAACTGGAACTCTGATTTAAATGCAGGGAAAATCGACAGGCAGGGTCCCTTCTATCAGTTTTCACTGATTCATTGGTGTCAGAGGTTAATCTAGCCACTAGTAAAGGGGGGGGGGGGGGGGGGGGTGATATCTTGCCATTTATCTTGCTCTTGTGGCCGTTATTCAAGGACCCCCCCCCCCAACTTAAACTGTAGACGGCGCTGGGCACAGACGTATTTATGTATTTAAAGAGATGAAATATATATGTATTCCTGTAGACGGCGCTGGGAACAGGATTTGGGTGAAATTCCAAGTGATACCTGGGATGCCGCCTTAGAATTGCTGCCGGTTATCTCCCTCTCAGACAGACCGGATCCCCCCCCCATTGCACTGAATCTGAGCTCTTCAAACAAAGGGCCAGTTTACCGCCCTGCAAACTTTAGAAAGAACAGGGCCCCGTCGCTGGTGTCGGTGGGAGGAGCAGGGCCCCGTCGCTGGTGTCGGTGGGAGGAGCAGGGCCCCGTCGCTGGTGTCGGTGGGAGGAGCAGGGCCCCGTCGCTGGTGTCGGTGGGAGGAGCAGGGCCCCGTCGCTGGTGTCGGTGGGAGGAGCAGGGCCCCCGTCGCTGGTGTCGGTGGGAGGAGCAGGGCCCCGTCGCTGGTGTCGGTGGGAGGAGCAGGGCCCCGTCGCTGGTGTCGGTGGGAGGAGCAGGGCCCCGTCGCTGGTGTCGGTGGGAGGAGCAGGGCCCCGTCGCTGGTGTCGCTGGGAGGCGCAGGGCCCCGTCGCTCGTGTCGGTGGGAGGAGCAGGGCCCCGTCGCTGGTGTCGGTGGGAGGCGCAGGGCCCCGACGCTGGTGTCGCTGGTAGGACCAGGGCCCCGACGCTGGAGTCGCTGGTAGGACCAGGGCCCCGACGCTGGAGTCGCTGGTAGGACCAGGGCCCCGACGCTGGAGTCGCTGGTAGGACCAGGGCCCCGACGCTGGAGTCGCTGGTAGGACCAGGGCCCCGACGCTGGAGTCGCTGGTAGGACCAGGGCCCCGACGCTGGAGTCGCTGGTAGGACCAGGGCCCCGACGCTGGAGTCGCTGGTAGGACCAGGGCCCCGACGCTGGAGTCGCTGGTAGGACCAGGGCCCCGACGCTGGAGTCGCTGGTAGGACCAGGGCCCCGACGCTGGAGTCGCTGGTAGGACCAGGGCCCCGACGACGCTGGAGTCGCTGGGAGGAGCAGGGCCCCGACGCTGGAGTCGCTGGGAGGAGCAGGGCCCCCGACGCTGGAGTCGGTGGGAGGAGCAGGGCCCCGACGCTGGTGTCGGTGGGAGGAGCAGGGCCCTGTCGGTGGGAGGACCAGGGCCCCGACGCTGGTGTCGGTGGGAGGACCAGGGCCCCGACGCTGGTGTCGCTGGGAGGACCAGGGCCCCGACGCTGGTGTCGCTGGGAGGACCAGGGCCCCGACGCTGGTGTCGCTGGGAGGACCAGGGCCCTGTCGCTGGTAGGACCAGGGCCCCGACGCTGGTGTCGCTGGGAGGAGCAGGGCCCCGACGCTGGGGTCGGTGGGAGGAGCAGGGCCCCGACGCTGGGGTCGGTGGGAGGAGCAGGGCCCCGTCGCTGGTGTCGGTGGGAGGAGCAGGGCCCCGTCGCTGGTGTCGGTGGGAGGAGCAGGGCCCCGTCGCTGGTGTCGCTGGGAGGCGCAGGGCCCCGTCGCTCGTGTCGGTGGGAGGAGCAGGGCCCCGTCGCTGGTGTCGGTGGGAGGCGCAGGGCCCCGACGCTGGTGTCGCTGGTAGGACCAGGGCCCCGACGCTGGAGTCGCTGGTAGGACCAGGGCCCCGACGCTGGAGTCGCTGGTAGGACCAGGGCCCCGACGCTGGAGTCGCTGGTAGGACCAGGGCCCCGACGCTGGAGTCGCTGGTAGGACCAGGGCCCCGACGCTGGAGTCGCTGGTAGGACCAGGGCCCCGACGCTGGAGTCGCTGGTAGGACCAGGGCCCCGACGCTGGAGTCGCTGGTAGGACCAGGGCCCCGACGCTGGAGTCGCTGGTAGGACCAGGGCCCCGACGCTGGAGTCGCTGGTAGGACCAGGGCCCCGACGCTGGAGTCGCTGGTAGGACCAGGGCCCCGACGCTGGAGTCGCTGGGAGGAGCAGGGCCCCGACGCTGGAGTCGCTGGGAGGAGCAGGGCCCCGACGCTGGAGTCGGTGGGAGGAGCAGGGCCCCGACGCTGGTGTCGGTGGGAGGAGCAGGGCCCTGTCGGTGGGAGGACCAGGGCCCCGACGCTGGTGTCGGTGGGAGGACCAGGGCCCCCGACGCTGGTGTCGCTGGGAGGACCAGGGCCCCGACGCTGGTGTCGCTGGGAGGACCAGGGCCCCGACGCTGGTGTCGCTGGGAGGACCAGGGCCCTGTCGCTGGTAGGACCAGGGCCCCGACGCTGGTGTCGCTGGGAGGAGCAGGGCCCCGACGCTGGGGTCGGTGGGAGGAGCAGGGCCCCGACGCTGGGGTCGGTGGGAGGAGCAGGGCCCCGACGCTGGGGTCGGTGGGAGGAGCAGGGCCCCGACGCTGGGGTCGGTGGGAGGAGCAGGGCCCCCTTGAAGAGACAGGAATGTATTTGGGGCGATCGCTCTGCCCTCTCCTCCCTATGCTGTAGCGCTGAATCTTCTCTTCTCTGCAGGTCACATAGGAATCGCCGTCCCCGATGTTTATGCTGCTTGTAAGAGGTTTGATGAACTCGGAGTCACCTTTGTGAAGAAACCAGACGATGGTAACTGTCATTCTGATCCCTCAGTGTTGGTAGACCCGCCTTTCTTCTCATTTTGTTTTTTATATAGAATACTCGGAGAGTCTGGAGAGTAATTTCAGTAATTACACATTTTGGGATTTAAATCCTCCCTCCGGCCTCCCCTACAGTCTTGCGCAGGTGTACTGGCTCCTCCCCTTCAGTCTTGCGCGGGTGTACCGGCTCCTCCCCTTCAGTCTTGCGCGGGTGTACCGGCTCCTCCCCTTCAGTCTTGCGCGGGTGTACCGGCTCCTCCCCTTCAGTCTTGCGCGGGTGTACCGGCTCCTCCCCTTCAGTCTTGCGCGGGTGTACCGGCTCCTCCCCTTCAGTCTTGTGCGGGTGTACCGGCTCCTCCCCTTCAGTCTTGCGCGGGTGTACCGGCTCCTCCCCTTCAGTCTTGCGCGGGTGTAGCGGCTCCTCCCCTTCAGTCTTGCGCGGGTGTAGCGGCTCCTCCCCTTCAGTCTTGCGCGGGTGTAGCGGCTCCTCCCCTTCAGTCTTGCGCGGGTGTAGCGGCTCCTCCCCTTCAGTCTTGCGCGGGTGTAGCGGCTCCTCCCCTTCAGCCTTGCCCGGGTGTAGCGGCTCCTCCCCTTCAGCCTTGCGCGGGTGTAGCGGCTCCTCCCCTTCAGCCTTGCGCGGGTGTAGCGGCTCCTCCCCTTCAGCCTTGCGCGGGTGTAGCGGCTCCTCCCCTTCAGCCTTGCACAGGTGCACTCTGATTTCACTGCACACTCTGAGCTTCTTACAATGTGCATTAGAGCTGCAGCAAGTCAGAGCTCCGCCTCCTTTCCTGGCTTGAGAACGCCCAGCATCATCTAGCGCTTTCCTCCCCAGCCTGAATGTCCCTGGCCCCGCCCCTTTAGATTTCAATCCTTTCCATCGCCTTGGAGCTCCATCATTATGGCGGCTCTGTATCACATGTGGGTGTTACCTGCAGATAAAGCCTGCCTAGGAATGCCCACTCCTCCAGACTGGCACCCACCCAGTGAGGCATTTGATATTTACATGACTCCTCCCAAGAGCCAGCCCACTGCTGTCCGGACGCTTTCTCCCCCCCCCCTTCCAGTCCGGACGCTTTCTCCCCCCCCTTCCAGTCCGGACGCTTTCTCCCCCCCCTTCCAGTCCGGACGCTTTCTCCCCCCCCTTCCAGTCCGGACGCTTTCTCCCCCCCCTTCCCAGTCCGGACGCTTTCTCCCCCCCCCTTCCAGTCCGGACGCTTTCTCCCCCCCCTTCCAGTCCGGACGCTTTCTCCCCCCCCTTCCAGTCCGGACGCTTTCTCCCCCCCCTTCCAGTCCGGACGCTTTCTCCCCCCCCTTCCAGTCCGGACGCTTTCTCCCCCCCCTTCCAGTCCGGACGCTTTCTCCCCCCCCCCCCCCCCCCTTCCAGTCCGGACGCTTTCTCCCCCCCCCCCCTTCCAGTCCGGACGCTTTCCCCCCCCCCCCCCCCCCTTCCAGTCCGGACTCTTTCCCTCCCCCCCCTTCCAGTCCGGACTCTTTCCCTCCCCCCCCTTCCAGTCCGGACTCTTTCCCTCCCCCCCCCCCTTCCAGTCCGGACTCTTTCCCTCCCCCCCCTTCCAGTCCGGACTCTTTCCCTCCCCCCCCTTCCAGTCCGGACTCTTTCCCTCCCCCCCCTTCCAGTCCGGACTCTTTCCCTCCCCCCCCCTTCCAGTCCGGACTCTTTCCCTCCCCCCCCTCCAGTCCGGACTCTTTCCCTCCCCCCCCTTCCAGTCCGGACTCTTTCCCTCCCCCCCCTTCCAGTCCGGACTCTTTCCCTCCCCCCCCTTCCAGTCCGGACTCTTTCCCTCCCCCCCCTTCCAGTCCGGACTCTTTCCCTCCCCCCCCTTCCAGTCCGGACTCTTTCCCTCCCCCCCCTTCCAGTCCGGACTCTTTCCCTCCCCCCCCTTCCAGTCCGGACTCTTTCCCTCCCCCCCCTTCCAGTCCGGACTCTTTCCCTCCCCCCCCTTCCAGTCCGGACTCTTTCCCTCCCCCCCCTTCCAGTCCGGACTCTTTCCCCCCCCCCCCTTCCAGTCCGGACTCTTTCCCTCCCCCCCCTTCCAGTCCGGACTCTTTCCCTCCCCCCCCTTCCAGTCCGGACTCTTTCCCTCCCCCCCCTTCCAGTCCGGACTCTTTCCCTCCCCCCCCTTCCAGTCCCGGACTCTTTCCCTCCCCCCCCCCCCTTCCAGTCCGGACTCTTTCCCTCCCCCCCCTTCCAGTCCGGACTCTTTCCCTCCCCCCCCTTCCAGTCCGGACTCTTTCCCTCCCCCCCCTTCCAGTCCGGACTCTTTCCCCCCCCCCCCCTTCCAGTCCGGACTCTTTCCCTCCCCCCCCCCCCTTCCAGTCCGGACTCTTTCTCCCCCCCCCCCCCAGTCCGGACACTTTCTCCCCCCCCCCCCCCAGTCCAGTCCGGACTCTTTCTCCCCCCCCCCCCCCTTCCAGTCCGGACACTTTCTCCCCCCCCCCCCCCCCCCTCCAGTCCGGACACTTTCTCCCCCCCCCCCCCCCTTCCAGTCCGGACACTTTCTCCCCCCCCCCCCCCCCCCTTCCAGTCCGGACACTTTCTCCCCCCCCCCCTTCCAGTCCGGACACTTTCTTCCCCCCCCCCCCCTTCCAGTCCGGACTCTTTCTCCCCCCCCCCCCCCCCCCTTCCAGTCCGGACTCTTTCCCTCCCCCCCCCCCCTTCCAGTCCGGACTCTTTCCCTCCCCCCCCCCCCTTCCAGTCCGGACTCTTTCTCTCCCCCCCCCCCCCCCCCCCTTCCAGTCCGGACTCTTTCCCTCCCCCCCCCTTCCAGTCCGGACTCTTTCCCTCCCCCCCCCTTCCAGTCCGGACTCTTTCCCTCCCCCCCCTTCCAGTCCGGACTCTTTCCCTCCCCCCCCTCCCCCTTCCAGTCCGGACTCTTTCTCCCCCCCCCCCCCCCCCTTCCAGTCCGGACACTTTCTCCCCCCCCCCCCCCTTCCAGTCCGGACTCTTTCTCCCCCCCCCCCCCCCTTCCAGTCCGGACTCTTTCCCTCCCCCCCCCCCCCTTTCCAGTCCGGACTCTTTCCCTCCCCCCCCCCCCCCCCCCTTCCAGTCCGGACTCTTTCTCTCCCCCCCCCCCCCCCCCTTCCAGTCCGGACTCTTTCTCTCCCCCCCCCCTTCCAGTCCGGACTCTTTCCCTCCCCCCCCTTCCAGTCCGGACTCTTTCCCTCCCCCCCCCCCCCCCTTCCAGTCCGGACACTTTCCCCCCCCCCCTTCCAGTCCGGACACTTTCTCCCCCCCTTCCAGTCTGGGGCAGGGGGCTGGGAGGCCATTTATAAACACCCTCCCACTCCTGCAGTGCCATCATCGGGCTGTTTATATACAACTACCAGACGAGAAGTGGGTAAATTGAAAAAAAAACTAGAGGGGGAAAAAAAGAAACCGGAAAGCATCAAAAACACATCGGAATGCGTAAAAAAAAAAATGCGAATACGGAAAAGCATACAGAACGCATCTGGAATCTGTTTTCCCACCTAAGGGTCAGTTCACACTCCATGCAGTTCAGTTGCTTTTTTCCTGCATCCAAAATGCACAGAAAGTCGGTGATCTGGTGCTCAGTGTCATCGTTCACATCAGCGCTTGCAGTTCCGGCTGCAGAAAAAAAAAATAGAACAGGCTGCATTTTTCCTGCACAGAACTGCAGTGGAATGCACATGTCCCTATTTAAATCGAAGAAAGAGTGGAAAAAATTAACCGGAATGCATTAAACGCACTGGAACGCGCCTAAAACACACACGCAAAAACGCATCCGGAACACGTTTCTATAGTGTGAACCGGTCCTTAGGGCCGCATGCAAAATGCACTGCTTTTGCGATCTGCAGCGGGTGTCATTAAAAATGTAAGGACACCCCAAAGGCAGGTCACAAACGCAGTGCGTTTGCCCGCATCTGGTCACATGATACTTCTGTACCATGTGATCCTTTTTTTTTTTTTTTTTTTAAAAGGTAGCGAATGCGGTACTTTTGGCGCAGTGCGATTTTTAACCCAATCACACCACATAGAGCTGCACGTTCCTGTGCGATTCAGCTGCAGGCTTGGTGTGAACCTGCACCTCAGGCCTCATTCATCCAGGCGCACATTCAGGGACCTGCATAGCTGACTGATTGGGACCAGCGACTGTGCTCCTGCAGCCGTGTGCCCATGCAGCCGTGTGCCCATGCAGCCGTGTACCCATGCAGCCGCTACGGCTCAGTAGACATAAATGGAAGTGCCTGCAGGCCTGTGCGGTATCCCGTGCGGTCATAGACAGTCTGTGCATAGACACGCCCATGTGAATGAGGTCCAGCACGTGCATAGCTCCCTCTACTGACCTGAGCCAGTACCAAGATTGCTGCTCCAGGTTTTCGGGTGACTACCTTGCCTTTCAGGATCCTATGCAGCCCTGCTGTAGCCACCCTCCTGACGCTGTGCACATCAACACAGAGAGCCCCAAAGCCTTGGACTGCCACCTCCTCTTACCCCGGACTGTTTCATTACCAACCGGCTCAGTACAGCACCGTCCTGTGGAATGTTTGTTCATGTATGTATTAATTTCCCGACTGGAAGTTCAGGGAAGTGGCGCTGAGAGACCTTTTATTGGGGAATATTTTAGTTTATATGAATGCTGAGAGTTTGATGCTCTTCGGGTGACGCGGCTGTTTTTCTTTCTTTCAGGGAAGATGAAAGGTTTAGCGTTTATTCAGGACCCCGATGGCTACTGGATAGAAATTCTCAGCCCGAACAACATGGTGTCCATCGTCTAGTGATCAGACGTCCCCCGCTGGGTCGCATAGCGCCTACGCCTCGCCGTCACCCCCCCAGCACATCGCCAAGCTCCCGCCATTGTTAGGTCAGATACTTTGTCCCCGGAAAACGCACCAGTTCTCATGAAAGCGATTTTAATATCCAGAATGATCCAATCGGGATCACGTGAAGAACTACAACTCCCAGCAGGTGGATGATGGACTTCTTTCAGGCTGCCATTGGTGAATATGGTATAGGTTAAAGTGAACCTGTCATGGCGGAGGTCGGGGTTCTGCCAACTTGTGTGAAAAATGTTAGTGACTCTAATCCGCTGCTCAGAATTCTGAACCCCGCTATGTCCGCCGTCTGTATATATCCGGTGTCGGGGGGGGGGGGGGGTTAATGCCCGGCCACCGCATATATATACATCACTGAGGCACGCTTCATTGGCGCCCCCAAAATTTTAACCGAGCCGTCATGGGTGGCTCCCAGTCCACTACCAAGCCCTTAGGATTGGCTGAACAGTGCTGATGTCATCATGAGCCCGTCCAGCCAATCCTAATCCTTGGTAGTGGGGTTGGGAGCCAGTAGAACAGTGCTGATGTCCCCATGAGCCCGTCTTACTGGATCCCAATCCACTACCAAGCCCTTAGGATTGGCTGAACAGTGCTGATGTCCCCATGAGCCCGTCCTACTGGATCCCAATCCACTACCAAGGAATAGGATTGGCTGAACAGTGCTGATGTCATCATGGGCCCGTCTTACTGGCTCCCAATCCACTACCAAGGCATAGGATTGGCTGAACAGTGCTGATGTCCCCATGAGCCCGTCCTACTGGATCCCAATCCACTACCAAGGCATAGGATTGGCTGAACAGTGCTGATGTCATCATGAGCCCCATCCTACTGGCTCTCCTAGTGCACTACCAAGGATTAGTATTGGCTAAACAGTGCTGATGTCATCATGGGCCCGTCTTACTGGCTCCCAATTCACTACCAAGGATTAGGATTGGCTGAACAGTGCTGATGTCATCATGAGCCCGTCCAGCCAATCTTAATCCTCCGGTACTGGATTGAGAGCCAGTAGAACAGTGCTGATGTCACCATGAGCCAGTTCTACTGGATCCCAATCCACTACCAAGGAATAGGATTGGCTGAACAGTGCTGATGTCATCATGAGTCCGTCCTACTGGCTCCCAATCCAGTACCAAGGATTAGTTGGATGGACCCATGATGACATCATCACTGTTCAGCCAATCCTAATCCTTGGTAGTGAATTGGGAGCCAGTAGGACGAGCCCATGATGACATCATCACTGTTCTACTGGCTCCCAATCCATTGCCTAGGATTGGCTGAACAGTGCTGATGTCATCATGGACCCATCCTACTGGCTCCCAGTGCACTACCAAGGATTAGGATTGGCTGAACAGTGCTGATGTCATCATGAGCCCATCCAGCCAATCCTAATTCTTGGTAATGAATTGGGAGCTAGTAGGATGGGTCCATGATGACATCAGCACACTGTTCAGCCAATCCTAATCCTTGGTAGTGGATTGGGAGCCAGTAGAACAGTGCTGATGTCATCATGAGCCCATCCTACTGACTCCCAATCCACTCCCAAGGATTAGGATTGGCTGAGCAGGGCTGATATGAGCCCGTCCTGCCAATCCCAATCCTTGGTAGTGGACCGTCAGCCAGTAGGGCGGGGCTCATGATGACATTGGCACTGTTCAGCCAATCCTTATCCTTGCTGATATAATGGGAGCCAGCAGGACGGGCTCATGACATCAGCACTGCTCTACTGGCTCCCAATCCACTACCAAGGATTAGGATTGGTTGGATGGACTCATGATGACATCAGCACTGTTCAGCCCAATCAAAGAAGCCTCTTCTACCAGTCCCAGGCATCACAACCTGTTGTAAAGCACCTCCTCCTGTCAGTCTAAGGGCTCGTTCACACTTGCTTTGGTCTCTGAAGAGCGATCCACCTTCCGATCGCCCTTCAGAGAACATTTGCCAGGCGGTGAGGGGACCTTGTATTACCTCCTCACCCCAGTTGTGGGACGCTCGCAGAGCGGCCCCATCCGCTTGTCCGGGTCCCACACCATGGGAGATAATTCCTGCTGAGTCATATGTGCCGCTCTGGCTGCTGAGAGGGGCAGCGGTTGGGGGGGGGGAGGGGGTGAAACCGTGGCTCAACAGTGGGATTATGCCACCCCTCCAAACGTGGAATGTCACTTTGTGATGTTTTAATAAAGTTTGTGGTGCGGGGAGCTGCTACCATGGCACCCTGGTGGCCGTGTGGTAATGGCGCCGCCAGTAGTGGGCGCTGCCGCTGTGAGCGAGCCCTGTAGGGACAAAAAGTAGCTGAGAAATTTGTTTTTGGGGTGTCGGGGGGGGGGGGGGGGGGGGGGGGGGGGTACGTACGGCGACTGTAGCTGCAGTATTAGGAGAGTCATACCAGATTTTGTGCCTTATTGGAAGCCACCTTCGTGCTCCGCCCGCAATCATGTGACCGCGCTTTTACCACCCAACGCTTAGTCTGTAAATACCAATAAATCTCGTTTGAAATGAATTGATGTCTCTGACTGTGGGGAAGGTGGGGGGGGGTCATTCAGAATCAGCCTGGGGGGGGGGGTCATTCAGAACCAGCCTTGGGAGGGGGGGTCATTCAGAATCAGCCTTGGGGGGGAGATGGGGTCATGTGTCGGTGGGGAGCTTACTGGTCATGTGATCACTGTGATGGGTTGGGAGTGAATGTTGTATTGAAAAGCATCAGCCATTGCTCAGTAGTCAGGTGACATTAGTTCCAGTCCGGACACTTTCCCCCCCTTCCAGTCCGGACACTTTCCCCCCCCCCTTCCAGTCCGGACACTTTCCCCCCCCCCTTTCCAGTCCGGACACTTTCCCCCCCCCCCCTTCCAGTCCGGACACTTTCCCCCCCCCCCTTCCAGTCCGGACACTTTCCCCCCCCCCCCCACTTTTCCCCCCCCCCCATTCCAGTCCGGACACTTTCCCCCCCCCCTTCCAGTCCGGACACTTTCCCCCCCCTTCCAGTCCCGACACTTCCCCCCCCCCCCCCCCCCTTCCAGTCCCGACACTTCCCCCCCCCCCCCCCCCCCCCCCCAGTCCTTCCAGTCCCGACACTTTGCCCTCCCCCTTCCAGTCCCGACACTTTGCCCCCCCCCCATCACACTTTGAATGACAATTGCGCGGTCATGCAACACTGTACCCATATGAATTTTTTTATTTTTTTTCTTTTAGACAAAACTTTATTTTGGTATTTATTCACCACTGGAAATCTTTTTTTTCTATATATATATATAAATGAAAAAATTCAAAAGTTTTTTTTTTTTTTAAGTTATAAAATTGTGCAAATTAATCTTTCTTCTTCAATTTTGGCCAAAATATATTCCTCTTTTTTGTAGAAAAAACAAAATTAGTTTATAACCAAATTTATAATTTTTCAAAAATTTTTTTTTTTACATTTTAATTTTTTTTTTTCTTACATACTGTCCCCCTAGCAGTGTGGGGTCACCATGGTGACACTGTACTACTTGTGGGGGGTGATAAAGATTTTTTTTTTTTTACACTGATTGCTTTTACACCCATAAAGGCTGTAAGAGGAATCATTTCTCCTTCTCTCTGGCTGCAGCCATTGAGAAATACTGTGTGAGCTGTGATTGGTCACAGCTTGTCACATGGTACAAGGCTGTTGTGAATGGCCCTGTACCATGTGATCTCAGTGATCCTTAACAAGATTTCTCACGTAGTAAGCAATGATGTCAGAAGTGACATCTTGCTTACTACTCTGCATGTGATCACTGATTGGCCAATCACTGATTACATGAGGCGGTACCTCACACAGCGGCCCCGATCAGCGATCTGTGGGAATAGGAAGGAGTATGGGATACATTACCACTACCCCCCCCCCCCCCCCCCCCCCCCCAATAAAAAAAAACCCCACAAGTGAGTTCTACCCATAAGAAGGTATCAGTCTCATACAGGTCAGGTTTATTAGAAGCTTTATTGGCTGTTATAGATTACTCCATTTTGTGCTTTGATTATGCGCAGTGATGCTGTGCATTCTGGGTAAGGCCTAGAAGCAGAATATTGATTAGATGGACTCTGCTGCTGGTGTCAAAAAAAAAAAAAGAAAAAGTTTTTTTTGCCTGTAAAGAATATTAGCAGCAGCGTTGTTGGGGTTGGATAGTAAAGGTGGAAGTCTTCGAGATCCGACACTTCCTGTAGTGTCAGTTCACTCTCTGTGGTTTGGACTCTTACGAAACAGCGATTGGCGGATGGAACCAAGAGCGTCACAGCGGGGGATGGGGCATCTGACAAATGCAGGATTTCAGCATAAGGCCCCCCCCCATGTGCACAGACCTGGGTTCACATATGTACATTGTGGTACATCGCAGGTGATTCACGCGCATTCCCTGCCAATCACGTGTGTGCGGTGCGATTGGAGTCGTACATTTTGTATGGCTCTATTCGCACCGAGAACACGCAGGACCCTTTGTTTGGTCCCCACTAGAATCGGATCGCCCGGGTATTCACACCTATCCAATCCGATTCTGCACATCACACCGCGTTTTGCGGACCGCTTTCGGGGGGTTGTTAATTTAACCCCTTCACACCGGCACCTCCCGGCCCTTTAAGAGTTTCAAGAGGTGGGGGGGCGGGGTTTAGGGTCATGTGACCGTCGTCACATGATCGGGAAAGGTCCCGATCGAACGAGGAGATCGGGACCTTTCCGTGAGTACCGGACGTGTGTGCTGGAAGCGCTCGCTCGTCACGCGTTTTTTTTTTTTTTTTTTATAGAAGGCAAATGTGCGGCCGCTTGGCCTCTGGGCCCAGACACCGGGAGGACGTACATTTGCGTGCGGCCGGCGTGAAGAGGTTAACATACACCACCGCAGCGGGGTGCGATTCTAATGCGGTGCGGAATTCACACTGAAAACGCTGCAAATTCCGCACTGCATTGGTGTGGGCAGCAAGTGCCTAACCCCCCCCCCCAC